ATTGCTTTGGTTTGGTTTGGTTCTTGTTCTTATTCTTATGATGCATTTTGTGTTCTCATTTTGTGTTTTTATGTTGATCTTCGGATGAAGGGCGGTATGCAAATTTAATAAACAACAACAGATTCTGATTACTTCTGTCCTCTAACATTACTGTTGAAATCCTATACCCACTTACCAGGAATAAGTCCCATTGAACTTGGTAGGGCTCAGCTTCCAAGTAAACATATAGGATTGCACTCTGAGTTAGCCATTGTAGATCAATAGAAATGCATGATAGTAAAGGAAACTGTTTTCCATGGTCAATCCATCTGCTCTAGCCTATGTGGCTAAAGTAGCTGAGGCTGATGACAGCACCAGGTTAACAAAGCCTGAGATAAAGTACAGTACCTTCTAAGTTAAAACAAAAAACTTGAAGCATCAAAACCCTGTAAAATGTTAACAGTCCTAGAAAGATTATTTTAAATGTTTGCCACCTTTATGCCTTTGAAATCTAGCCAGTGTCCAAGCAATGTCTTGTTTGCAATCACTCTCATTAAACTAATAAAACAATGTTTTCTCAATAGCTAGTCTGAGTGATCAAAAATAAAAGAGCGAAGCAATAAGGTTAACAAGTCAACGAGCCACTTCATGTTTGCAATCTGTAGCTCCCTACATACTGTGTGCAAGAAGATTTAAGAATGTATTTCTTTTCGCCTCCCGCCCACCTTACAGTGCCCTAGGCACAAATGGTTCGTTTACAAGAATCATATCAGTTTTAATAAGCCATTGTCTTATTTTATTGTGAGTCAGGGAGAAGGTCAACACAGCAAAAATGTGGGTGGGTGGGTTGGAATCTCCCAGTATAAAATCTTAAGGACATTAACTCACAACAGAGGAGTTTATCTTATTTATTATTCAAGGTCATTGACCAAGATTTACCTCCAAATAGAAACTGCTTCTAGCAGGGTTGGCCTATCCATGAGGTGGACTGAGGCAGCCACCGAGGGCATCCTGCCTGCCCCCACTGGAGAAGCGAGAAGTGGCAGCTTCTGGGTTCCGGTGAGGCCTTTCAAGATTTTGACGGAAGCCACTGCTGCTTCTCCTTACTACTCTGGTTGCACCATGGGCACTGCCATGCCACCACTCGAAAAGAAAAGTGGCTGCAGCAGCAGCGGCTTCTGGCGAGATTTTGCAGGGCTCTCGCAAGAGTTGAAGCAGAATCCTTGCATATATTGTCTCACATCTTATCTGCAGCATCACAGGACAATTGCAGTAAGCAAACTGTAACAGGGCACTGACTTTCTGAAAACCGAATCTGTGTTTGGTACAAAAAGGGTTTCAAACACCTAATCTGCACACCTCAACTACTCTTCCTGCTAACCTGCTGCGTTTCAAAATACAACACTGACGAACAGAAATTCAGCCCTAGTCACCCCCAAGTTAGGATGTAGACACATAAAAATAATTTTACAGTTGGAAGAGAATTTAGGAGTTGGGTGGAAACCAAATTACATCAGTACAGAGGCCCCAATAAAACAAACTGCATAAGCCTCTGGGTACAAAAACACAGAAGAGGCTTACGATCAGATAAGAGTCAATCCCACTGTTATCATTTCTCCATCCCTTTTCAGTGTAGAAAAGCCCTTCATAATTCTTCTTACTTTTCACAGAAATCCAGTAAAATAGGTTGAGATACAGTGATGTCAATGACCCAAACTACCCATTAAGATTCATAGCTGAATCTTGCCCTGGCAAGTGGCAGAAGAAATATACCTGCATCTCTTTTTTCTCTCACCAGGTGCAGATTCCTCCCCGGGGGTGGTTGAAGAGACCTTTATTATATCAATTTGGCTAGCCTCAAGATGACTTTACTCATGATTTATTTAATGAAGCGAATACCTTTATCTCAACTCAAGAGAAGCCTCAATATTAATAAATGAGAGGCTGAGCACACCGTAGCCAATGTCCATCAGTGCAGTTCACTACCAGATGGATCCCAGCTTAGCTTTCAGTTAGGTAAAATGAGGACACAACAGAATTGAATTAGGAATCATGCACGCAGCCCTAATAACAACCAGGGCAGTGGCAGCTTATGAGATCAGCCCTGGCTGGCCAGATGCCCAAAGTGTCATGACCCGCCTATGGTCCCTGTGAAAGAAGAGCATCTTCTGGGCCTGTCTGGCATCATGGGGGAGGAGAGGGGAGGCCACAAAGACTGACAGCTTTCCTTTTGAACTATAATTGTTTCATTATAACTGTTAAACATCTTCCCTATGACAAATTAAATTGCTGCATGAAACGGTGCCAATCAGCATAAGTAAATTACATTTTCAATTATTATGCTCCAAGAGTTGTGCTACACAGAAGCTGCTTATCGGGAGATTATGCTTCCCCTTTGCTCCTTGTTGTGGCAGAGGGGCCATTTCATCAATATCCACTGGGAGCCCACTGGTATCAATGGAAAGGAGGAGCATGGTATTCACACCAACCATGCTCAAGTTTGTGGTGACTTCCAGAGCCTTTTTCTAGAAAAATAGCAGTGGTTACTAGGGGTTCAGATGCCTGATGGAAGCTGAAATGGCCTAATGGTGTGTTTTGAACTGGAAGAAAGATTCATTGGAGGAAAAGGACAAAGAAAGGAGCTAAAGGCACTCTGACAACTTTTGTTAAATATCTGGTGTCCCATCTTTGTCTTAACCTTACTGAAATAAGGTTGTATTCCTGAGATGAAAAATGTACTACAGTGCAAAAAGGGTACTGTGTTATAGTACACTGGAAATATAACCCCCAGGTCGAGTCTACAGGGGGTGGCATTGTAGTACTCAAATGCATTCATTGAAGGTATGTTTGCTAGTTCAGGGCTCCCAAGGCTAATATTGGCTTACCACCTAGAGCACAGCAAGTAAAAGATACTGGTCTAAAGCCAAATCAGAATGCAAATCTTCCAGTATTCCAGGCTTGACCAATCCAAAGGTTTCATACAACTTCCCAATTACTGGAACTAGTATTGCCCATCCCTATACAGGCAAGATCTCACCCTAATATTAATTTGCATGGAAGAAAGTCTCATTCAGCAAAAGTCCCACTTACCTTGGCTACCAGTCCTTTAATTATGGTAGTTGCTTCCTTCTCTTACTTAAATCAGACTTGTAATTAGTCAATTCCTGTTCCTTGCTAGGGTCTGTGTACAGCTTTAATTACTCACTTCCTCTTTACAGCCAAAGCAACTATTTGGTTTTTTTAAATAATGATTGCATTTGTGGAACTACAATAATAACAAATAAAATTTAGAAACTAACAAGGAATTGGCCTGGCTGCAATAATGATTAAAGGGCTGATTCAGGAATGCCATGATCACAAGTGAAAGGAAACAGCTACTTAAAAAGTCAGTAGCTTCTGCTATTTTTATTGTTGTTTCGGTTGCATTCAAAACTGTATTTCTTATACAGTGGTACCTCGGGTTAAGTACTTAATTCGTTCCGGAGATCCGTTCTTAACCTGAAACTGTTCTTAACCTGAAGCACCACTTTAACTAATGGGGCCTCCTGCTGCTGCCGCGCTGTTGGAGCACGATTTCTGTTCTCATCCTGAAGCAAAGTTCTTAACCCGAGGTAATATTTCTGGGTTAGCGGAGTCTGTAACCTGAAGCGTATGTAACCCGAGGTACCACTGTATTTATTTTTAGCTTATTGTGAGCCACCTTAAGTTAGGATAGGCCTGTAAAGTTGAGGTATAAATTTCATAATAAACATGGAAAACACTGGAATGCTAAGTTTGGGCATCAACAATGTCCATATTGTTGGTAAAAATTATTCCATGTGTATGATGGATACAGTATCTGATTTGTGCAATCCATTGTCCCTAAGGTTCCTTACTGTTTCTGTTTCTCCAGTCTCTTTTTCTTTGTGTAATACTGTTTGTTTTGCCATGAAATCAATAAAAAACAAACCCTCAACGTGCCACCAGGGCACTGTTCTAGCAGTGACTTTTTAGCTCAGCATAAGCCAACATGGTGCCCTCCATGTTGTTGGATTTCAGCTCCCATCAGCCCCAGCTAGCATGCCCAAGTCATGAATGAGGGGAGTTGTAGTTAACAACATCTGAAAGGTTATCCCAATCTCAGCTGTGCTGCACCGCCACCATTGTTCTTATGGTCAGTGATGGTTCTATGCTTTGTCTGTCCAGATGACCAGAGGCTGGGCTACTGTATATACTCATCTCACCTGCTCCAGAATCTGACCCCCAGGCCATCTTAAGCCACTGCATCTGCTTCTGACCCCTTGATCCTTGTTAGCAGAACCTGACCGCATCACTTGCCTCTGGGCCTTGACAACAGGCCTTTCATCATTGAGGAACATTTCACCTCCCATGACCCCTAAACAATTCTTGGCAGTGCTACTGTCTATAGTCATCATTAGGATCACTTCCATGTGTTTGCTTTACAACAGAATATGAAATGATATGCCATGTGCGACATACAAAGCTTATAATGTTAATTTATAAGATGCATAATGAAAACCTGGCTTTTGAAGTAGCTACAGCTCTCCCTTTCCTCAAGATTCCCAAATATAAAAGCAGAAAAAGTTATTTCTCAGCAAGTTTTGAACGTGTGTGCTTGTGAGGTGCTATTAATCGTGATTCATTTTAAAATAGCCATGGGCTAGTCATCTTCACCCCCAAGGTAACTTCTCACATCCTCTGCGATGATAAAGCATTTCATCAGTTTGGTGGGGAAAGCAAAACACTACCCACAGACTTGCAACTTCATAGCATCCTTGCCTTGTGGAACATGAAAATCCCACAACATCCTTATCCACAATGTGTTACGCAAAGCAACATTAAAAGTCATTGAAGTGTCAGTTGGTGATTTCATCATGTGTCAAGCCTCCTACTTGTGAATGATTCATCTTACTTGTCGCAAAAAGGGGAAGGGAGGAGGAAAAGTCAGAAACTTCAGACTTGGTTAGCATTGTTCCGATAGCTTAACGTTCCAAACAAATGAGCATACAGAACCAGTGATGGTTTGTGAAGTGAAGTTTTAATACATAGTAACATTTAAAAGCAAAAAGCATTTTAAAGCAGTTTTTTAATAAATGCAAGCGGCAATACAATGCTAAGGTTGGTTTGCACTATAGCAAAAGCATAGAGGCCAAATGTTATCAGTCTGAATGTTGTAATACAGGCATCCCCGTCTACCGCACTTAAGCGGGGGTTACGTTCCCAGACTCTGTACATATATGTGAAATTGCATAAAGTGGGGAGGGTGCTGTTGAGAGAGGCTGGGAAGTGGCTCTCTTGGCAGATCCCATCCAGCCCACCCACCTTCCGGGGGAGGGGAATGCACCCTTGCGTGTGCACACATACCCTACCTGCCTCCAGTAACCATTAAGTTGAGCTGGGGATCAATGGGTTGGTAGCTCCTAGTGCCCAGAGCTGCTGTGGACCTCTTGGCACTCTCCTTGTTGGTCTTGGAAATTGGTGGTGGTGGTTTCTTTTTATCTAGTTTCTCCCCCCAAATAATGTTGCTGTCTGCTTGTAGAGCAGGAAGGGAGAGGGCAAAGGAAATCAGAAGGACTCTCAGAACCTTCCCCAGGAACAAAACTGATATTCGAGCGAGCGAGGGATGGGCAGGAGGGCAGAGGCATGGAGCACTCCCTACACAACAGCTCTGAAAACATTGTAGACCAAAGAAAAAACTTTAGGGCTTTTTAGAGTAATCAGTTGTGCTTGCTGAAATTAAACATATGATGCGGTTTATGGCTATCCTTACATTTAGGAATCCTATACTCACAAATGTGAACTGAGAAAGATTGCCATGCTGAGCACTGAAATCCATGGGTCAAATAATGCACTCAGGATAATGATGTTAGTTCCATTTACCAGTCAGCAGATTCTGCTTAAGATACTTCAGAGCCCCACTCATGTAGTTCACATAATCTACAGCACTGCAGAAATGTACTGTATCTTGGTCAAGATGACATCTATGTATCCCAAGGCTGTAGCGTTGCTCGTTTACATTTCTTGGCCATGCATCTTTAAAAAACATCTGGTGGATAGGTTTTAGTGGAATTGTGCAATTGGGTCAATAGCACAAGAGAAAAGATTTTATCAATCTTGAAACTGAAACTGAATCTCTTGAGCTTGTGATCTTTCACCTTTAAACCTAAGTGAGAGTAAAGATTAGCAGGTGAGACAAAAGTAAAACATAATTATTTGTCAACAGATAAGCATGTTAATAGCTTACAGTTGGTGCACATTCCATTTCTTTACATGACTTTGGAGTTTATAACAACCCAGTCAACTGTAAAATTCAACCTTTGAGGTCTAGGAAACTGTGACAAAAGGAAGACAAATAACAGGACAATGAAATCTTGCTCTTTGTCCCTTTTTCCAGAGAAAGAGATGAGGTTAAGAAAATAATTCTTTTCTAAATTTGGTCTTGTCAGCTGGAGCGATGGCCTTGGAACTGCAACAGCTAGAATAAAAAGATACTTGCCATACACCTTTGGCCTATCTTTTGGTTAAACAAGAATACCAAAGGTGTTGGCAACAGCCAATGAAAATACAGTGGCACACTGACTGAGCAGATACTATTTATTCAGAGAGTTATATGTGTAGCTGCACTGAAGGTCACAATCCTAGTAGCCTGTTCATAATGTTGACGCTGCACTGACATGGTGGTCAAAGCACCATATCAGGTACCTGTTTGCTCTAGTTGTTTAAATAGAGCTTACTCTAAAGTAAATCCTATGTAAAACATTTAGGCCTGGGAGTAAGTCTCACTGTGTTAAGTGGGATTTACTTCTGAGTAAAACAGGGTCAGCATAGGATACTTTACTGCAGAAGGTGGAACACCAGATGCTGACCTCCCAACAGCTGAGTCTCTGCTGCTTACTAAGAGGGAGCAGGGAAGGCAAAGGGAGGGTTATCACAATGTGAACTTACTAGCAAGAGTGCCAGATTGACTCCACGGCTGTACTTGGACCGCACTGACCTCACCACCTTGCCTCTCCCCACCCTGTGAGCAGCAGTGACTAAAGTGTTTGGAGGTTAGGTAAGCATTGCTTATCATGGTTACTGGCTGCATAGTACCAAAGACCACTCACACTCTCCTGTTACCTGAGGCAGGAAATCCCAGCAATGCTTCCTGCCTCTGGAGAAGTAAAAATACAATATTAATAAATTAACGAACAGTTTGCTGCCATATTGTTTTAGGCTGAAACTAGTAGGATCTACTTCCAAAACACCTCACGCTTAGGGTTGTTTCTCCCTTGCAATCCAGCCTTTGTTCTGGAAGTGACGTAGCTGCACCTGCAAGTTGCAGAATATTAGCTACAACCGAAGATTTATACTTGGGGATGCATGCATGACTTTGTGAGGCAAGGAAAGAAATGATTGAAAATAAAATACATTGGAAGCTTAGCAGAGCAATCCCAACCATGTCTACTCAGAAGTAAGTCCTGTTGAAGTGAATGGGACTTACTCCCGGGTAAGTGGATTTAGGGTTGCAACCTTAAAAGAACTTATATCACAACCCCCCCCATGTTAAATCAGCAATGATAAAGCCTGGTATAATTTAAATATGGTTTTTTAATCTACACATTTGTCGCATGAATCACTTATGCTTGCCCCGCTTCACAATTTAATTTGTTATGAGAAACAGAACAATCTGTGCACATTTTTGTTGACACCTAGAAAGTGCTGGATTCAGTAGGCACAGTAAATATATCAAGTTGCCTTACACTGAGTCATACCTGTGATCCACACCTGTGATCCTGTCTTCACCAATGAGGGGGAACATTTTTTTCTGCTATGGTGCTGCAGTCCGTTGACAGTCATCTGTCAGGGGGTGCATGTGGGCAGGGGCATGAAGGGGTCAAATACAAAAGTGGTCTGGTCTATCTCTTTTCCCCAACTTCTCCCTTTCTCTCCTCACCCAGTGGACTGCTGGGAGAAGGTAAAGATCCTTCTTGCCAGAGGTCTGACAACTTTCAGAAGTCTCATCACTCCTTCTCCCACCATTCCTCCATCTGCTTTGGTTCCTCAGGGCACTCTCCGTGGGACTCCTTAAACTGCAAGGCATGAGGCATGTGAACCCAGAATTCTCACATGTTGCTTCCAGCCATTTCACATGTCCTGTGCATATTGAAAATAGTGGCCTTGCTGGTGAGATAGGCTCTTTGTTATTTTATGGTGTAGCCCTGGCAGGTTATGGGTGCCAACCCCTATGAACAGGAAACTCTATGGACAGCCCCCTCCCTGCAATATACATGCCCTTCTTCTGCACACCCATAACCTGCCTATCCTAATGATGGGCATTTCACTAGTGTAAAATTAAAATAAGAATAAATGTGGAAGAGGTAGCACAAATAGTATGAAGGTGGGGAGGATAATTTACACAACAAGCAAAACCACCTAGTAAAGGCATTCCTCAACTAGGCTGCAGATGCAGTATAGCATTTATGAATATTTTGATGGAAGCTTCTTGCACCTAGAACGTTTTTTTACTTGATGTGTTAGTTTTCCACATGCAAGGAAGTTGTTGCTGTTGATATTTAATTGGAGTTAACGAAAAAATACACACACCATACTTCCCCACCTGTCACTGTATAAACTAGGAAGGACTCTACCACATGAATTTACTAACTATGTTATCTGGCTAAAAGATGGGAAGGATACACAACAAAACAGGTATTTTCAGGGGCACTGTTTAAAGCTTGCTGCAGCAGACACAACATACCAGGAAGTCAATTGACTCAGCACCTTTCAAATGGGATGCCAGCCAACTTGCGCAATGCCTTTTGCTGTCCAATAGAGGAACAAATAAGTTATCTTTCAGACAAGACCATTTGCATCCTTTCAAGACCACATGAATGGATCGCCTTCCCAGCAGCAAGTACATGTTCTATTCCTCCTCTATACTTTGTTCATTAGAATAAACTTGCTAACTCACTTTTGAGGCCTACCACAATTAGTCTCTCTAATTGGCTTATGGAGAGTGCTGCATGAATGTATCAGGCTTTTTACTTAAATTGTTTGTTTTATTAAAGTCTTCATATGGATGACTGATCACAAGAGAAACGTGTTTTTCCAAGTCTGCTTATTAGGAAGAGAGGAGTGTGGAATACTGATCAGATCATTCCTGAAACAGAGTGCTAGTGCCTGCCTCTTCTAAAGTATAAAGCTGGGATCAAGAGGGTATACATACACCAATTTTTTCCCCATGCATCGTGGACAAATGTAACCTTCTTACATGTTAAAAGCACTTTACTATTTCACTGACCTAGCTCAAATAGATTTCAATTAAATCACAGCTTTTTATTAAAGACAACAGTAAGATGCATTTGACAATGTCGCCAGCTTAATCCAAAAGCAATCAAATGTTAAAATGGTAGCATAAAAATCTCGTAAAATTAGAAGGCCTGGGGGAAATAAAGTTAAGAAGCCTTTTTAAGAAGACAAATGAAGGTGCCAGGCCTACATTCTCCAGGGGAAACTGGGGTGTCCCATACAAGAAGGCCCAGTCGCTGTCTGATGATGGGATACTTGGAGGGGGACTTCTGAAGGTATTTAATTTGGAAGTAGGTATCCCTTTCCAAGGTTGCGGACAGCTTTTAAAGCAAGCCTCAGTGCACGGAATTGTGTCTGAAATTGGCCTGCAAGTTAGTGTAGCTCTTTAAGCATCACTGAAATGTCTTCTCAATGACTAGCCCCTGAAGCTAATTGCAGTTTGAGAGCAGTCTTCAAAGGTATTCCCTCATATAACTTACAGCTTAGAAAACTCCTTAACAGTTTTCTGTAGCAATTAATACCTTAATCATTTCTAGACCGGAGTATTGGAATGTGCTCTCTCTTTGGGGTTGCTTCTGAATAGGCTGGAAACTACAACAGGTAAAAAATGTGTCTGCTGGGGGATTGACTGCTGTAGGGCAAATAAAGCATATAACAAGGGTTGCCATATGTCCAGAATTCCCCGAACATGGCTGAGGTTTGGTTGTCAGAAACGGGGATTCAGTTGCCAGAAAAATCTGTTCGTATAGATTTTGGCAGATTTCATTAAAAAAAGGACACATTCTACTCATGTAAAAGCACGTTGATTCCCGGACCATCCGCGGGCTGGATTTAGAAGGCAATTGGGCCAGATCCGGCCCCCGGGCCTTGGTTTGCCTACCCATGCTTTAAGTCCTAAATGGTCTAGAGACACAGGATACCTTAAAGAACACCTACTACCCTATGAAAATAATCACATGGTGAAATCTTAATTGGAGACCTGGCTAAGTGTGTACCCACTGTTTAAAGTGTGGTTGGTGGTAATGTGAGACAGGGCCGCCTTTGTGGTGATGCTGAAGCTGTGATATTCCTTCCCTAAGGAAGTTCTGAGTAGACATGCATAGGATTGATTTGTTTGGAACAAGCCCTATAAATGGAACCGCAAGATGAATTAGACCATGATAAAGAAAGCAAGAGGCCAAGTAAGTGCCAAACTTAGTTTATAGCAGGAAGAGACTAAAATGATCCTTTACTGACCTGTGCCATATTTATTAAAGGTGTTTTTGCTATCTATACCAATTTTATTTAATTTTTTAATTTGAGATTGCTACTATGGAGCGTGTTAAAACTGGTAGCAAAAAGCCCTGGAAACTTATACATAAATACATTCATTAAAATATGCCCTTTCCACTGGCCTCCCTGATGCTATATACAAGCTAAACACACACACACAATATGATACAGCAGGGTTTCCTACAGCATTAGAGAAAGGCGGAGGGGTATGACCTTAGAATACCTTGGAGACATGTTGAGCAAGTTTTCTATAAACCAGGCTTATTGTCCTGAGGTAACACCGGCTGGAAACCCAAGCTATAGTCTCCCAACAACTACTTAGCAACCAGCAAGAGGTATTTTCTGTCCAGCTTGTAATTTAGATAAATGCTCTTTTTATTGCTGCTTTTTAAAAGGCAATGTAATCCCTATTTTCCCAAGAAAAAGCCTGCCTCTAGAATGTGGCCCTTTTGGGTTTTCCCCTTCTAGGAAAAGCGCATCCTTCTTAGACGATTTTCTCTCTCCTCCTCCAGTCAAATAAGACCCATTCTCTGCATGGGCCACGGTGTGACCCTATGCATGCTTCGTTGCAACGGGAGAGATGAGGGGGGGGGTGGGCTCAGGCTGCACATATGGATACCTGTCAGTTTCCCATGGCAACTCCTTACCAACGTCCCCCACCCCATTATGAACTTTTTCACTTTTTTCCTCAGTTCCTCCATATTCTGTGGATGATTCTTAGGTTGCATTTCCTGCCCTTGATCTCCTCATCCGCGCCCGCGCTGGCCTGGGCTCCTCTTTTTTCCATAGCCGTCTAATCGAACAGCCCACAACTCCCTCACCCTCTTCTGTCTCCAGCATCCCCTTTACTTAAACCGCATGGACGCAATACGAAATATAAAACGAGAGAGAGATATATACACACACACAAACACATACATATGCATATATATACATATGCATATATATATATATATATATATATATATATGTATGTATATATGTATATGCATATGTATGTGTTTATGTGTATATCTCTCTCTCGTTTATATATATATATATATATATATATATATATATATATATATATATACACACACACACACACACACACACATATGCATATGTATTTGCATATATATTATGTATATTAACCAGGCAGCCCCGTCTCCCCCTTGCCCGACGCCTCCTCGCCGAAGCCGCGACCTCGCTGCCAGCGCAGCCGGACTCATCACGACGCCGCACGCGCGCAAGAGCCGCCTCCGCTTGCGCCCAGGCTTGGCACCGAAAGGGGGCGGGGCGGGAGGTGAAAGAAAGGTGCCTCGAGGACAATCCCTCTCCCGGCGCCCAATCAGGCCATCCCTGCCGCAGCTGCGCGCGCCGCCCAGCCTGGGACTTGTAGTTTCTCCCTGCAATTATTGTAGCCATTTTGTGGTGAGGGGACTACAACTTTTCCCGAGACCAAGGGCGATTCGAACGCACCCGTGCGCGGAGCTGCTGCTGCTGCTGCTTCTCCTTCTCCTCCTCCTCCTGCTTCTCCTCCTCTTTCTCCTTCTCCCTCTCCTCCTCCTCCTCGCTTCCTCCCCTCCCGGGCACGCGAGGCAGAGCCCCCCCCCCAAGACCGCGACCCGGGCCCTTTGCGCACGGAGAGCGGGAGATGTAGCCGGACTTGGAGGTCGCGTTTGCTCGCCAGGCGAAGGGGGAGGGAGGGCAAGGGAGGACAATTAAAGAGCTTTGCAGACACAGAAAGGAGAAGAGCTGGCGGCGGAGCGTGTCGCGGGCGCAGGGATTGTCCTCAAATTCTGCACCGGGATTCCTCGCCCCGGCGGCATCAGCTGCGCTCGGCGCCTCCGGCTGGAGAGCGGCCCCCGGGCGGGTGAGGGCGGAAGGACGACCGGGGCACGGCTGCCCAGCGGCACGGCACGGCTGGGCTTGCAGCTGCGGGGATGCAGCCGGAGTGATCTCTTTGCGGCTGGGAACACGTTAAGAATTGAGGCGAAGCCCTAACCCTTCTCTCTCTCTCTCTCTCTCTCTCTCTCTCTCTGCCGCCCCCTCCTCCCCTCCCGCCCCCCCTTACTCCAGTCTGCCTGCCTGCCTGTCTATCTATATACATAATATAATATTTTTTAAAAATCGGGCCATTTAAAGTTGCTGCTGGAGAGCTAGCTGCTCTCATTGGTGGGGCGGAGGGAGAAACTGAAGAAGCAGACTCCTACGGAGTGTGTGTGCGTGCGTGTGTGTGAGTGCAGCCTTCAGTGCTGCTGGAGTTGTCTGTGCTGCAGCAGTAGAAACGTGACTTCCAACATTAAAAAAAAATACCTTCCCCTTTCAAATCTTTTCTCCGCTCTTCAAGATGTAAACTACGCCTCGGACACTACGGGCCTACGGATCGCTTTGGTGGCCTGGGAAAAAGAAAAAGAGGACATCAAGGGCGGTTTTGTGTGTCTGTAGGGTGTAAAATTTCCATTATGAATCTCTAAAGTGATTTTTCTTTTTTTGGTGGTTTGCTCTACATTTGTATTTTTTCTTCTTTTTTGGCCCCACCACCCAACATATTGGATTTATTGCAAGGAGGATTGTATTGTGTGCGAAGAAAATCGGATTACAAGAAACCACTACAAACAAGAAACAAAAAAAGGGATTTTTTTTCCTCCAAATTGGTTGCGGCTTTTAATTCATGAAGCAATTTCCCCCATTTGCAATCAGAATCTGGATATCAGAATGAGCAAAGAAAGACCCAAGAGGAATATAATTCAAAAGAAATACGTAAGTGGTTATACCGGATCATTTATCTGTTTGATTTTTTTGGAAATGTTCATGAATGTCAAGTTTACAGCTAGCGGTGGCTTTAAAGAATATCTAGAAATGTTGGCTTTTCGTCCGCTGGGAATGGGGGGGGGGCGAGAATTCTCAAAAAGCCTCTTTTAACTGTAAAGCGGGTTTAAAAACGAGATTCGTGTAGCGATACCTCAAGTGAATAAATGTATTGACCTCAAATGACACAATCATAATCTAGTTTTAGAAGATGAAAGACACAGTGCTTGGGGGGCTGCTGCGATAATGCAACTAAACTGCTTTCTCAAGCGGATTTACTAATATTTCACTTTGCATGCAAATAATCACATTATTATAACATATATTTAGGGGTTTGAGAAGGCACTGTGGTTGTTCGGCGAGACGGTTAACTTGAAATATAATATCTAGTTATGGCGTGCTTGCTTCTTCTACTCCCCCATCAAATCTCGTGTATGTGATCGTTGGCTTATCTAGCTTGCAATAGAACCAAGCCAGTTGGGGATCATGTTACAAGGAATGTATTTGCAAGGCCTGACTTTAATATTCGGGGAAATGGCTTGGAGTTTTGTTAATTTTGTGTGGGCTCACGGAGAAATGGGTTTACCGTTCAGAAAGATGCTTTGAAATCTGAAGAGCCAACGATCTAGCTAATGGTGTGTGCCTTCGAATCGTGTAGTCAGTCACGGGATAACCTTTTCCAATGTAGAAATGTGTAGAAATTGCTGAGACCGTGCCTTTTTTTCTTGGCTCTAGTCATGGTTTGGTTGGGATGGGGGAGTTATTTTAAGTTTGCAGCAACAGAGTGGATTAGTCAGATGTGCAGGCAGTCCTAATGGTTTAAAAACAAAAACAAATGCGGCTTTTACTCTGGTTAGAATACCTTTCTTGAATATAAGTGGCTCAAGATGACAAAGTATAGTGTGTTTATCGTTTGTAAGCAGAACATTTGTTATGGGGCGCCTGTGCCCTGATGGTGGGGGTGTTCTTCTGACTTCCCCATTGATTTTAATAAATACTTCATAAAGTCACAGTAGACTTCGACAGAGTTTTTCCTCCTATTTTTGACGTCTGGAAATGTATTTTTTTGAGAAACGTGACTCCAGATAACAATGGGTAACTTTTAAGAAAATTCGCCAACGAACTTGCGAATTAGAAATACATCCGCATTGCAGAGGAACTGAGAATCTGAAGCAAAAGTATTTTTGTCCAAAAGGGATTGTTTCTGTAGGAAGCCCCCTGATGAACACGCGACTTGTGATTTGTGCCTTGCGCACGTTTCCAGTGCAGCGAAACAAAGCAGGAAAAGGGGTGGGGAATTCGCGGCGTGTTTTCCTTTTTCAAGCCAAAATCTGTTTTTAGATACTCTTTTCGTCTGCACGACTGAACAATGCAACTCTATCGCGTTCATGCAGCTTGCTGGGGAAAGAGAAAAGAAGTGGTGCCACTCCTCTCTCTCCAGGACCTGTTTGGAAAGACACGCTATACTGGAAAAGCCAGACAGCGTTTCGTGTGTTCACACAAGTTTCAGGCTTGTCATGTTACGAGAGCGGGGTGGCGGGGAGGGAGAGAGAGAGAAGAGGGCAGGCTGGTGGGGAAAGCGAGACCCGGGAGGCTCTATTGGCCATGGCAGTGAATCGCGGCCGCAGACAGCAGGCATGGCTGCTGCTGCTGCTCCGGCCCTCGGCGGCGCGTGCTGCTCCTGGTTGCATCCGTCCTCTCTCCGGCGGCAGCAACAGGTTAAGCGGGATGTCAGCGCGAGCCCCCGGGTTTCCGGCCACTCAGCTCAGCCCAGCCGGGGCCAGGTTCTTGTTGTGCTCGTGACGTCACAAAAGGAAGGGCCTGGGCTCGCCGAAAAAAATCTCCCGTCTCCTCAGCGTCCCGAATGCCCCGCCCACCGGTCTGACGTCATGCGCGAGATCCGGTGCGGGCGGACGGATGAAGGAAAGCGGGCTGCTGAGGGGACGGGCCGCTTTGCCAGCGGCGGGGGCGGCAGCAGCAGCAGCGAAGGGCGGCTGCGGAGCCCATGGTGGCACCGCTGGCTTAGGCCTCCCTGGCGAGGTGAGCAGGTGTAGCAAGTATTCACATACCTCTGACGTGTCCCTCCGCCTCACCTGCCTACCAGGCTGTCTGAACTGGGCAGTTATTCTGCTTCCTCCCTGCAGACTTTCTTGTGAAGGGAGGATGGCTGGCCCCATTTCCATTTGCACGGATGCTGTGAAGAAAGCCCACTCTCCTGTGCTCACCTTTCTCAAAAGTAAGGTGTTTGCACCTTCTATCACATAAATAGCATGTAGTGGCAGAAGCTGATTCTTCCTCCCAAGTTATGGGCCTGCTGGAATTTTTTGGGTGCGCAATCCTACCATTTTTATTAGGTGCCCCCCCGGGGCTGATTGAAGTGCCAGTTCACCTGGCTGGCTTTCAACCTCCCATCTCAGTCAGCCTTTTCCTGTGGCCTTCTTGTCCCAAACACTTAACATTGAGTCCTTCGTTGCTAGGCCACTAAAAGGGAGAAATTCATGAAGTAGTGTATGCCAAACAGTTTGCTTGAAAAGCATTATGAAAGACTGCTAGAATGTTTTGCCCACATCCACCCCTCAGTTCAAGAATTCTAAAAACACATGTAACTCACTTGCATCACTGTCTCGAACATCATAATATTCCTGTGTAACCAGTGTGTGGATTGTGTCTAGTCATTTAGTTGATCTTTCAGTGGGAGAAATCACTGATGAGGAATTCCAGTATAGAATTAATGTATTTCAGCTTGAACAATGGTCCACCTAGTGTCTATATTGCCTCTGTTGCTGGCTGGCTCATGACATTTTACACAGTAAGTATAGATTTGAAGTGGAAGTTTAATGTATCAGTGACTCAGATTCTGTAAGGCTAGATAGTGCTGGAACTCACCAGAGCTATTTTGTCAAATGAAAATGTTTCCTGCTGATGCAGAAATTAGAAAGTACAGTATAGCTGTGTACTGTGTAGAGATTGTCACCATTCATCAAGAGCCTTTTGAAAAACGCTATATAGTGATCCCCCCACCCTTAGCATATATTTTAAATGTGAATACAGGCATCAACAAAGATGCTT